CAAGGCAGGTGTCAGTATCGCAAGTATGTGTGCACGAACAAGGCATGTGTCAGTATCGCAAGTATGTGTGCGGGAACAAGGGAGGTGTCAGTATCGCAAGTATGTGTGCACGAACAAGGCATGTGTCAGTATCGCAAGTATGTGTGCGGGAACAAGGGAGGTGTCAGTATCGCAGGTATGTGTGCGGGAACAAGGCAGGTGTCAGTATCGCAAGTATGTGTGCAAGAACAAGGCAGGTGTCAGTATCGCAGGTATGTGTGCGGGAACAAGGCAGGTGTCAGTATCGCAGGTATGTGTGCGGGAACAAGGCAGGTGTCAGTATCGCAAGTATGTGTGCACGAACAAGGCATGTGTCAGTATCGCAAGTATGTGTGCGGGAACAAGGGAGGTGTCAGTATCGCAGGTATGTGTGCGGGAACAAGGCAGGTGTCAGTATCGCAAGTATGTGTGCAAGAACAAGGCAGGTGTCAGTATCGCAGGTATGTGTGCAAGAACAAGGCAGGTGTCAGTATCGCAAGTATGTGTGCACGAACAAGGCATGTGTCAGTATCGCAAGTATGTGTGCACGAACAAGGCATGTGTCAGTATCGCAAGTATGTGTGCGGGAACAAGGGAGGTGTCAGTATCGCAGGTATGTGTGCGGGAACAAGGCAGGTGTCAGTATCGCAGGTATGTGTGCACGAACAAGGCATGTGTCAGTATCGCAGGTATGTGTGCGGGAACAAGGCAGGTGTCAGTATCGCAGGTATGTGTGCGGGAACAAGGCAGGTGTCAGTATCGCAAGTATGTGTGCACGAACAAGGCATGTGTCAGTATCGCAAGTATGTGTGCGGGAACAAGGGAGGTGTCAGTATCGCAGGTATGTGTGCGGGAACAAGGCAGGTGTCAGTATCGCAAGTATGTGTGCAAGAACAAGGCAGGTGTCAGTATCGCAGGTATGTGTGCAAGAACAAGGCAGGTGTCAGTATCGCAAGTATGTGTGCACGAACAAGGCATGTGTCAGTATCGCAAGTATGTGTGCACGAACAAGGCATGTGTCAGTATCGCAAGTATGTGTGCGGGAACAAGGGAGGTGTCAGTATCGCAGGTATGTGTGCGGGAACAAGGCAGGTGTCAGTATCGCAGGTATGTGTGCACGAACAAGGTAGGTGTCAGTATCGCAGGTATGTGTGCACGAACAAGGGAGGTGTCAGTATCGCAAGTATGTGTGCGGGAACAAGGGAGGTGTCAGTATCGCAGGTATGTGTGCACGAACAAGGCAGGTGTCAGTATCGCAGGTATGTGTGCAAGAACAAGGCAGGTGTCAGTATCGCAGGTATCGCCACTTTTAACAGTATTCCAGTTATATCGTGGCGTGTCAGCTTAATGTGGGAATAAAGCCCCAAGTGATGCAGGTCTCGGACGTTTACCACTTCGGTGAAACCCACGAGCACGGGTATGGTGCTGACAAACCTAGAAACATAATCGGGGCGAACCGGGATTCGAACCCACAATCATACGTTTCTGGCGTGCCCAAGGGACGCAACTCTCCACAGCGGCGCCTAAGACGACTGGGCCACCCGTACCCCCTGTACACATAGGAACACTCGTGGTAGCATGTCGGTGGAAGTAAAAAGCCAGCTAATCGCAGTTGTGAGTGAGTGAGTGAGTGAGCTGGGTGTTACGCTACTTCTAACAGCTATCTTGCTATAGCATCGCGTGTCAGCGTCATGTGGGACGACAAGTCATATCAACCAGAGTAAACACAGCAACGTAATGCTGCATTATTTACCAACCGATTAATCCTTTAGTTGAGACATGACTTTGGAATCACTGCACAACTCGAATTTTCGTTAATGAGAATGTTCTAACGGCACGATGTAGGTCAATCCATCGCGGATGTGAAACAGTGACACCTGGTATTACGGCCTGAAGGTCAAATGGTTAAAGATACGTGAGAGAGAGATGGAAAGAGAGAGAGAGAGGGAGACAGGGTACGGTTTTACGCGACTTTTAGCAATATTCCAGCAATATCACGGCGGGGGACACCAGAAAATGTCTTCCCTCCCATGTCGGGAATCTAACCCGGGTCTTCGGCGTGACGAGCGAACGCTTTAACCACTAGGCTACACCACCGCCCCGGAGAGAGAATGAGAGAGTGAGTGAGTGAGTATGGTTTTACGCCGCTTTTAGCAATATTCCAGCAATATCACGGCGGGGGACACCAGAAATGGGCTTCACACATTGTACCCATGTCGGGAATCTAACCCGGGTCTTCGGCGTGACGAGCGGACGCTTTAACCACTAGGCTACACCACCGCCCCGGAGAGAGAATGAGAGACAGGGAGAGGGAAAAAGAGATGAGAAAGGATAAGAGGGAGGTGAGAGAATGAGAGGCAGTGACAAGGAAAAGAGAGAAAGGGGTGAGAGAATAAGAGAAATCAAGAGAGAAAATGAGAAGGGAGAGAGAGTGAGGGTAATGAGAGAAAGAAGGAGAGTTATGAGAGAGGGAAAGAATGAAAAAGGAAGAGAGAGATGAGAGATAGAGAGAGAGAATGATGTACACATGATCATCATAATTATAGTCGCAATCGTACAATCGACTCTGCTTCTGGCAGAGATTTCTTGTGGATATGGAAAGGGTTTTGTCGCTTTTATTCGTAAGTGCAAGTTGAGCTGAATCCGGTCGGGCGCTTCTCATGATCAGCTGACGAACCGGAAACATGGGTTTTAGAGCATGTCACGATTGTATAGCTGTAGTACACCTCAACCACCCTAAGACGTGAATGTAAACACGCTATCATCATACGCCTTGTCAGTTTGGCTGAACAACAATGATGTCCATAAAGTGTTAACTGAGACACCAGGTCAAATTTGTAAAAGTCATCCATCATCTACAATTTCCGACATGAAAAGTGCGATTGTGGGAATGGAATTATTGCAAGAAACGGAATCTATCACTGTATCAGAGTATTCACATTATGTTCATTCAAACACTAGCAGCCCTGGATAAAATATTTGCTCAACAATACGTATGCTTGTATGCTTGTTTTTTTCTTCGCTCCAACCCCTACTGTACATGAGGCTTAATTTCTTTGTGCTGTGAGTTATTCTTACTGCACTTCTGGCATTATCCAATTAACTGTGTGCTGCTTGTTATCCGTTATCTGTTGTTGTTCAAGTTAATCTGCTGTTTATGACAGTGAGTCAGTGAGTGAGTCAGTGAGTGAGTGAGTGAGTGAGTCAGTGAGTCAGTGAGTGAGTGAGTGAGTGACTGACTGACTGACTGACTGACTCACTCACGCACTCACGCACTCACTCACTCACGCACTCACGCACGCACTCACTCACTCACTCACTCACTCACAATTATTAAATATATCACGAATAAAATCTGTCCACATTGAATTGTATTTATGTTTGAGATACATATGATAAAGATTATTATACATATTTTTTTGTTAGTTTATTATCTATGGTATTACTACCCTTCATAACTTTATACCAAAATGGAATCATCCGTCTTTTAAAGACAAAGGAAATTGGCACTCTCCCGGTTTCACCATATAGCAAATATATGAGGGAGTATGCTTCTTCATATGTAATACAAATTTCAAATTATATTTGATGAACGTTTTCAAAACATGTAAAAAAAGTTAAAAAAATAAACTTTGCATTCGTAGCTCATAAAAGGAATTACCATATGATCAAAAGCTTTATAACACACTCAGGTGCGAGATTACAAATGTCTAGCTTTAGATAATAATGAAAACATTCCCTTTAACGTTTTTCCCTAAAATGTTTGAACCAGTACTGTCAAACAGATATCCATGTACACCGTAACATACATGTATGTTTCACTCTCCCTCTTAGACTAACATTTAGTCTCTGAAATCTTATATTACACAATATAATTCTTGACTCTATAAATAAAAAACAAACATTTAGTCTCTGAAACTTTATATGACACAATATCATTCTTGACTCTAAAAATTAAAAAAATACATTTAGTCTCTGAAATCTTATATGACACAATATCTTTCTTGACTCTAAAAATAAAATAAAAATGCTGATTTCATAGTGGAATAGAGTAAGCTTGAGATGGCTAGACTTGCTTTTGTATGCGTTTCTAATTTTTATCTAAATACATTCCACGGTCATGGTGCAGGATTATCTCCCTCTCCATGATCAAGACTGTAAAACAGCGAGTTTCCAAGACGTGCAACACTCGTTGCATGTTTCATTTTTAATCACGGCTATGATCAAATTACCATAGTAATACATTGCCGAGGATCGCTTGTAACCTATTCTTATTGTACAGGTTGAAATAAGGGTATCGCCTGTCGTTGTGAGTCAGAGCATGGCTGTAAACCCTTGCAGCGACATCAAGTTTCTCGTCATTACTCAAGAAGTTCTTTTGTTCCCATTGACGACTTGCGTGTTGACGATTCAAACACTGCACTGCAGAATATACGGTCTGTTGGAGTTTGTCGCGATCGTCGCTTTTGACTGAACAAGGTATAGTTTGTTTCAGATGGTAAATATATAGTATGGTGAGACTGACAGCTTGTGCGTCTGAAATATTGTTTCTTTGTTGAAGACATTCCGATAAACACAAAGTGCCTTTACTAGATATGTTTGGCAGGGTGGCCCCGTAATCCCAGTTGCGCAAGTTGATGATTTGCGTCCATGAGGAGTGACAGAAACATACAATGGTGGGTTTCGAATCCTATGTTCTCGCTTATGGTGGTTGTGCTCGTTGGTCAACGTTTCAGAGACAATCCTTAGTGCGTTCATCATGGGAATAAATGATTAAGTACATTAGTAACTTCTCCTAACAAATAATTATGCTTTAGACCATAGTTGTAAGGTGTTTTGTAAACCTCCCCCCCCCCCCCCACACACACACACACACCCACACATCCTTCCCTGAATATCAAATGTCTGTCCCAGCTGTGTCGTGACTCATGGATAACGCGAAACTGACTATAGTTAACACAGTTAAGCTTGTTCATTAATAATATACAGCTTCGTCATACCAGCTTGGGATGGGCTCCCCACATGAAAACGAAAGGATCACTTCCCTGTAAACAGTGGTAGTGTAGTATTCGTTTATAACGCATTGTGCTTTCTCCAACACATTCCTTGGACGCCAGTAAGTACTGTTTATTAGTGTATGAACGAACGAGTGCCTGCTTAAATTCCAATTACACACGTATTGTCTGTTATGACATCCATATCTGTTGGATCTTCCTACCAGCATGACCGCCTCCGTGGTCTAGTGGTAGAGCGTCCGCCCGGAGAGCGGAAGGTCCGGGGTTCGATCCCCGACCGCGTCATACCAAAAGACGTTAAAAGATTGTACTTGTTGTTACCTTGTCTGGCGCTCGGCATTAAGGGGCTAAAACAAGGACTGGTCGGCTCGGAGTATACTGTGTCTGAGTGGGGTATTCATGTTAAAACTGCGGCATGGTATCTCAGTGAGCTAGCACTATAAATCGGCATCAATCCGGACTAGTACAAGCAGCCACACAAACACACACACGTACATGCACGTCGCTATATAAGTGCAGTAATCTTGGACGCGACTTTAAACCCCATTTCACCTCACCTCCTACCAGCATGGGTTGCCGTGACCTAGTATTGTTCCGCGACCTATTCAGAACCGGAATTCCCATGGTGATATAGAAATACCCCCTTCATATCAACTGAATAGGATCAATTACATGTAATTTGAGAACTTTATTTAAATGTGAAAAAACACCTTAACCATAAACTAGAAATATATGAGTAAACATGACATATTTCAGAGGTAATTCGCCTCTTATTAACATATCGTTTTTATTAGTATCAACAAAATCAGCACTATCGTGCCACAGGATTTTCTGGTTTATCGATCACTGGATTTTCTGTGTTGTTTACAGGCCGCAGTCGTATGGCAGGGGTACTCCTGTGTACTTACCTTTTATACAAATTATGTGAATTGCGGGTGCTTACGGTAGTGCAGGATAACCTCACCCTCTTCGCGAACACATGGTGTCATCACTGATTTCAAGTGGTCCATACAAATAATTTTCAAAATAAATTGTGCCCTTTAGACCAAATGGAATTAACGAATAATCAAGGTTAATCTCTGACATTGACGTTTTATATTTTCTGAAATAAAAGCGACAAAACCCATAAGAGCGACTGTACAGGGGCTGGTCAAAAAGTTCTCAGCCTAACAAACAAAACCAACAATTGTGAAAGTGTTTTTATTATTCCAACATACTGCTTTTCAGTACACTTCTCATATCGACAGTGAAGATTTTCAATTCCAGTCAGGAAGAAGGTTTCTGAAGTCAACCTGAAATACCCATTCACGGCAGCTTTGGAAATCACTTGGTGCCAGGTCTGGCGAGTACGGGGGTGAGGAAGCTCTTTAAACCAACATTGTTGCAACAGCAGCCTTTGAAAGTCGAGAGGTGTGAGAAGAGGCATGAAGTAGTAGAACTCCAGCAGTCAGCATTTCTCGCCGATTTCCTTTGATATAATCTCTCAGACGATGAAGTAAATCAGTATAGTAGGCACTGGTAGTCGTCTTTTGACTTTCTAAGTAATCAACAAGAATCACACCCTTTGCATCCCAGAATACAGTGGCCATAACATTCTTCACTGATCTTGAAGACACGGGATCATAGTGGTAGACCCATGTTTCAACACCCGTTACTAATCTCGTTTTGAATTTGACGAAATCCTCCGCAGTTAGCTCCAAATTTTCTCTGGCAATGTCAGTTCTATTTTCCTTAAGATCAGAATTTAGAAACTTTGTCACCCAACGAGCAGATATCTTATTTATCAGGAACTGTTCATGAGTAATAGTTTCGATGGATCAAGACTTAGACCTGTGCCTTCCTCAAGTTCAGCAATGGTAATTCAGTCTCCTTGTTTGATTCTTCATTGATGGAAGCTGAGGGACGTCTAGACCTAGGGACATCATCAAGGCTTGTTCTCCCAGCCTTAAACATAGCTGCACTACGTTTAACAGTGGAATAGCTAGGGCACGTATCCCCATACACTTGTGACATGCGGTCATGATTTCCGTGTGCAGTATTTTTCTCAGTATCAAAAACTTGATGACTGCTCGGTACTCGTTCTTTTCCATTTCTGTGTCCATTTGGACCCCTATCATATTCAACTGCCTGTCACTAATATACAAATGGCCCCAAAAGACCAAAATTCGCTTGTAATTAACTACTCAAACAATGTACTACATTGACTTGTTCACTTTCTTATGGCCCATAGCTGAAAGTTAGTAAGGCTTAGAACTATGTGACCAGCCCTCGTATCATGAGCACGTATTTATGCATGACAATTAAATAGTGATGATGCCAGGTGTTCGAGATAAGGTGAGCGTATCCTGCATACCCCATCGGTGACACCCATCACAGATACATGCACATGCACAGGCACATTAAGAGCTTCAAGATAGCATGGGCTGAGAACAACCACAACACTTTAGACAATTCACTTGCTCACTGTCGGTTAAATTTACGACCTATTTATTATTCTGGGTTGCTCCAGATAGTTTAAGGACAATCTAAAATAAATATACTACCGACAAAAACCCGCAAAGGACCACCCGGTTCTGTGATATTACTATAGTTAATCAGATTAACTATTATAATATGAAACAATAGGGTGATCCTTATCTTGTTTTGAGTTGTGTAAATGTCAGGTGGTCGGTTAAACAAAATTGTGTGTTTCTATACCATTACGGAAATGTGACTCGATAACACCCACTTCCATTGCACTCATATGCCTTTGTTCAAAACAAAGGCATTTTTTATACTTACACTTTTATATGGAAGCGTATTAGGGCCACATTCCCAAAATATATAAGTAACATCTACGAACCTACGATACTTTCATCTACGTATATGATATTATAATCTACGTAGACAAAAGTATCATCTAACATCGAACTATCGACTTTCGTAACAAATGAAGGAGTGATAATCAAACTGATACACATGAAGCACTGAGGCACAATTCTGCAATTTTTATAATGAATTTCTTTGTGTGTTTTTTTATTTTGACAATTTGAAATTATCTCAGTATGTCATAAAATGTGTAAAAGACGAAATGGAAATATACGAGCTACAAGCTCTCAAACATTTAAGTAAATTAACAGAAATTAAGAACCTTTATTTAAAATAAAAACGTTTGTATAAACTATATGAAACTAGGGTCCTAACTTCACAAGACAATATCACTGTCTGAGTAACGATGCGCACGATTTCAATATCATATACAGTAAACTACGCTTATAACGAACACGCTTATAACGAACTTACTTTTTTGTCCGGACTAACTGATGTATTATTCTGTATATATGCTTATAACGAACTACGGTTATAACCAACTAAAATTAGTGGTCCCTTTGAGTTCGTTATAACCGTAGTTTACTGTACGTATATCATAACTACGTAGATGTGAGTAGTATCATCTACGTAGATGTGAGTAGTATCATCTACGTAGATATGATTATCAACAACGTACCTGTAAGTATGGCCTACGTGCATAGAGAATACTACACTCATTCTCGTTAGATACCATTTTTACGAAACGAGTGCGAAAGCGAGGTCAAATACCATAGAAAGTTCACGAGTTTCGTAAAAATGGTATCCAACGAGAATGTGTGTGGTATTTCATTTATTACCCACGTTAAATATATATTTAAGTGTAAATACATAACAACTTTCGTTCGTTGACAGACCAAACTTAAACCGGTTGCAAAATCTGGTTGCGCATGAATATTGATATATGCCCAAATATGGGCATTGTTGATATTTCTATGCATTCGCATTAACAAAATGCTCTTGCTGTTGTGTTTGCAAACACGACAGCTCCTACGCTTAAGATCCTTTTTGAAGAATTTCTACAACTTATGGTAATTCAAGCGCATTGTTGTTAGTATGCAGTCGGTCACTTGACTGCTAATGTCCCGTATGTGCAATCAAAATGGTTCGTTTTCCTTGATCAATCAGCTGAATTTATATCCTGTTCGTACCATTTTGGAAGAGGGAAATCAGAGTGTTCGCCAAAGACATTCATGCTAACTGTACCACCCTATACTGCAGACGTGAAAATCATCAAACTCAAGTCTGCTTGCATGTCAGTGACAGCTTCGAACGAAGGGCAAGGTAACCACCGAAATAAGAAAAGACAACCGTGATCTACTCACGGCGTTTTACGCTAGAGATAAGGAATGTTATTGTTCACATTTGGCATGTTTTGGGCCACATAATCAGATGTCAGACACACTTCTACAGAGTTTTCGAATGATTTATATCGGAAATGTTCACTTTTAGTGATCTGGTCGTGCAATCGCGAACAAACAAATCCCAAAACAGTGCCACAAAATACGCTTCGAAGGGGACACTGATGGCACAACCGGAGCATCCCAATTAAGTCTAGATATCTGTCCAGGCAAGTATAAATTGACTTCATGTCACCACGCTTATCTTTTTACGTTAAATCAAATTGAGAGTTTCGAAAGTGGTCGCGGATCGGGTGCGTCACGCTCATGGGAACCCTCGATAGAAGATCGTACATTGTAAATGGATAAAGCTCGATTATATAATGTCTGTAGAAGCTCTATGCATAACTACTATTAATTGCAAACCGCATTTGATGCGTGTGACTATCTTGTTTGGTTTAATAAAGTGTTTGTAAATATCTCTCGCTTTAATGAGATTGCTTCAGTTCTGCCTTGTAGTTGCAATATGAATGACGTCTCGTGATTTTTTATGAATGAAAAAAATAGTCCCGGTGTCACAGAGGTCACGGTTAACGAATCAAAACGAATAAAACGAGGTCAACCTTGTTCGGATTTAGTATTTTACCACTTGTATCTTCACCACGTGGGTAATAAATGTAAGTATTACCAACATGTACATGTAGCACCAATACGCTTCCATACTTTGATCTAAATAGAAATGCGATATATCTTTCGATGTGCATTTCCTGTCATTGAAAGTCAGGAAATTGGGTGAGTTGTTGTTTCCTTCATTGACGGTTTCCCTTCATGAACACTGACGAACAAATGTTTCTGATGCGTTTAAACTTTGGAACTGTACATGTGAAACAACTACTTCGCGGAAAGTCAACTCT